ATAAAACCACTGACTAACCCTTAATGTATCAATGCATCGGTTGGTCACTGGATCCCTCTTGATGTTAAAATGGGTGAACTCTAGTTTTACACGACGACCTGCAGGTGCATCAATATTCCATCTACAGTAATAGTGTAGAGGAGTAGCACTGGGAAAATTTGGTGAGGATATTGTACCAGAGCCGTCAGTGATCTCTCCACCACACCTTCTGCCTGATGTAACAGTGATATAAAGAAATCATAACCAGAACATGTAAATATAAAATACAGAAAAGAAATTATTGTATATTTAAAGTATTTTTAATATATATATTATACTTTTTACTTATTTACTAGTCCAACCAGGTAATTTAGCGATATGGAAACATTATTCATAATAGTATTGCATTTAAATATATAAATTCTTTTCAGAAAAGTAAACTAAATGTTTATTATAAATTCAAGTTTTTAAAGTAATTATTTTAGACTTTAAGTAGTCCACGATCATTAAATTTGTTTAACCATCTTTTAACACACTGGGGGTGTTAAAAATAAACATATTATAAATAATACAGCTCCACACAATTAGGCTCTTCTTTAAGTGGGGAAAAAAAAAGAGTTATTTTAAAGTTTAAAGAAATTTTTAGTGTACGTACAAAGTATTTCTTTTCCCTTCGTACCAAATGCTCGATACTTGTTTTAAGAAATCTTACCTTGAGACCAGTTGGAATGCAGAACTTTGTTATAAAGTGGGAGGACAACAAACTTTGTGTAATCATGAGTTTGATCACTAACAGGAAAAGTAGGGGGACATGTCCCCTTCTGCCCTATGTGTTAGGTGTGCTTATATGGCCAGTAATATGTTTCATTTTCATATATGCTCTGGACATGACACAATAGCATTTCAAAGTTGATTACGATATGAATATTTTGATATGTTACTGCTCGGGATATTTTCTCACAGAGAAACGAAGATTTTTACAGTTGTTACATTTCTGTAACTTCCTTATTACTTACAACTGAAAAACAACCCACAATCAACTTCTTCCTAACAAGAAATTATATTAACTTTAATCTCTATGGGTCTTCCTATGATCATGGGTCAAAGGCCATGTCATGGCGTATGTAGACTCGCATTCAAAATTTTATTGAACTACTATTTTATGAATGTATGTCAATAAGTTTGGTACCAAATTGTAGATTGTAATTCAAATTTTAGTATGATCCATTAGTTAATTTTTTACTTTAAAAGAAATATTATAAAACAAATCCTAAATATCGATTTTTTTGTGTCACGTGGTATGTTGAATGAAGCATTAGTTCAAATTAGATGATATCCAAATACAAAGTCTATAGTTTCTTACGAACTAGGAACTCAAATTACCAATATTGACAAGCTGGAATATAAAATAAGAACCTCCTATCTTTTCTATTTGCTGAGATATCGCTCATATACTAAACCACACACAGTGGCCCTGCCCACCTCTTTCCATTTTAGGAAATGCTCCCTCGTATACACTTACTTATGTCTATAACATGTGAATAACCAATCGAAAGCTCAGAATATCTTTTATTCTTTATTTACTGTTTTATGTTTTAATAAAAATAACCTTAAGAACTTATTTGTAAATAGTAATAATGTATATACATATATATATTGTACTATAACTGAAATGTGACTGTATGTTACAAAATACTAGTTCACTAAAACTGCCAAGACAGTTTAGGCCAGTTTTATACTCTTGGATACAGTAACTTGAGTGCACATGTGTCGTACCATTGCAACTTCTATAATGTTAGCCAAGCATGTTAAATATATATAAATGTATAATGTTATGAAATTTAAGCTATTTATACTAAACATTTGTGTTTTTGTGTTATAATCTGTAGTTATTCTAGAACGAAAAAAGCATAATATATATTTATTTCCTAATTTCTTTTATCGAGGTTATAAAGTAAGTCCAATCGAACCAACACATACAGAGATACAATATTGAAAATAACAGATAAAATATAAATTTGTTTCTAAAACAAACTTGATAATTACCTGGAGGTTATAAAGATTTCACCTGTGAAATCTGAAAATGTTCTGATGCATACAAGTATTTTTAATCTTAAAATCAACATTACTTTGCGGGTTGGATCATCAACATTCTGAAAGAAGATTTTTTACGAGAAAATCTTTAATTAAAAATTCTTAATACTTACTTTAAAAACCTGATATTTTGTGTATGAAAGCCTTGTAATGTTTACCAACAACCTGCCAAATTTTGAAAAGATATGCATACATTATCAAAAATCATAGTATAATTACTATCATGGTTACGAGCTGGGTGGAATCGACCCAGCCCATAATGGAAGGGTTAAAGAGTTTACTTCCTTACTTTATCTTATTCAACATATGCAAACATAGATTAATCATGATTATAATACCAATTAGGTGGCTGAGAATCTATGAGAAGTAAAATAAATACAGTGAAAACATACCATACCAACGAACTGAGTACACTAGCCTGAATCCTTGTTTAGTTTCACTACTATCTGACTTGAACTTAATATATACAGTATCAGTTGTAGGTGCTAAGGAAATTGCACTGGTTAAAGAACCACAATACCTTCCAAGCAGTTCACCTGAATTTGAAAGAAAAAGAGAACACAAGGAATAAAAAACATGTAATTATGGAGTAACAACATTTCAGTGAATACCAATTAGCTACACTAAGTTTCTTAACAATATGAAAAAAAACTTTTATTTCACTTTTATAATATGTAGGCAACTTGTTTCCTTACTTTTTTTTTATGATCCCTATTTGCAGTTTTTTTAAATTGCTATGTTTTACCTTTAGTACTGTTGCATGACCAATAAGGCAAGAAATGGTTAAAAACTGACAGTGACTTATAAAACACAAGTACCATAATTAAATATATTTTAGACCCTATAAATAAAATACAAAAAAAGTTGAAGTCTTAAAATTTAACATACTTTTAAAATTAATAAAATGTATAAAACTGAGTGCTAAAGCCTCAGTACCTTGAAATAGAGTGTATGATAAAGATAATTTTACTGAAGAATCATAGTTAAGCTTTTGTATTGAAACTGGTAATTGTCAACAAATAAATCAGATTTAGCATTAGATTTTAATTGGTATGCTCTGGACTGATAGGAAACAAAATTTCTACATTGTTGATAAGGTATGTACTTCAAACAGACAAAAAAAGTATATGTAATTACATGTTATCGATGAGTAAATAATATAGAGTTTATGTAGTAACAGGTACCTAAATACTCTCCTTGTGTAAAAAAATCACATATCTTAAGGCAAATTCTGACATTTAACACATTGTTAATAAGCATTCACTTTACCTGTGGCACTTTGATCTCGAATTTCTACAAAGTCTGTTGCAGAACAGTTAGGATGAGAAGGAAGATCGAGGTTCTGGAATGAAAGGTTTATTAGCCGAGTTTGACGCTGAGTAATAAACCACTCACAAAGCTGGTTGTTCTCATAATTGTTGGGAAAATGAGGGCTTTTAATGGTTCCACGTGATTCTCTTAGAGTGCCACCACAATTACCTGTAAAAAAATCATAAATAAGAAAGTATCTGTATGCATAAAATTATAAAAATTATGATTAGCTCTAATAAAGAATTAACTATATTAGATATCCAATCCTTGTATTTTTCTAAGTAAACATCATGATATGATACGATATCCTTCGCTGTAACCCTTTACCCATTGAGTAGATATAATAATCTTAAGGCATTTTTGGCTGAACATTAAACAAACTAAATAATACCAGTGAACTGTTATCAAAAGGTTTTACTTCAGATTTTTTGATTAAGTACAATTTTAGAGATCCAAACCCTCTACCTCAGCATGATGTAGAGTTAATGCACTTTTATGCAAGTATATTCTTTCTGATGTACAGTTTTTATTATCAATTTAATTTCATTAAATATTACATAGGATGTTACTTCCAACCATAATCACTATAATGGCTCCCAAGACATTCTTGGTATTTTTTCATTCTTCTTCTTCTCAACATTTAATTTAATGTCAAGATAATTTTACATCTGTGCAACCATAATATCATCTCCTGTTTCATTTATTTCATAAATTCATAAAATGTTGAAGGGCTGTTACGTATTCGCTTGTTTGTTAATTTCCGGTATAAATTATTTCCGAGAAACTTAAGCGATACAAGCCTCTGTATATAAATTACTCTTAGTATAATAAGACAAGCCTAATGGTTAATAGACACATTTGAGGAAAGAACTAAGATGAAAGACTCACCAATGACAGCTTTGGCTTTAAATCCTCCTTTAGGATCACTTGAAGCAGTGAAGAACCTCACATACATGACATTTCCAGTGGTGAACACGCTGCTTGGATGAACATTGCCACAGAATTTTCCCAGTGATTCTGAATAAATAGTTCCACCATCTCTTACTTCGACAAATTCTTTGCCAAAATCACTATGACAGCTGGTAAAAATTATAAAAAATTCATGAAAATATATTTAAAAAAACTATCATTAACATAAAACACAAAAATATGTTCAGACATTTCTTTGAAACAGTGGTCACCTTGTTTATAAACTATTGTATTATGCTGATTTATAAAGACCGTTTTGTAGAGTAATGACTAAGCCTAGGATTATAAAGAAACCTCAAAAAGTGAATCTCAAAACATTCAAACCACAAATTCTACATAGTATGCTTCTTCTTCTTGTCCAAGTATGTTTGAAATAGAAATTTGATAATAAAATACCATAACTAAAGTCTTTAAAAATATTTTATAAAAAACAAAAGCATACCTTTTCAAGTATGGTTATTAACATATGTTTATCAAGTACTCACTTGCTGTCCATATGAAAATCACTTTCAAAATCAAGACGAATTCTATTATCTCCTGGTGCCATGATAACCCACTCACACTCTATATCATGAGGAGGAGGATTGGGGTAATTTGGTGAAGAAAACTCAGCTTCTTTCCTGTTATTCTTAAGATAAATACTTCCTCCACAGCCAATAGACATTTCAGAAAATGAAAGGCGAAATATCTAAAAATGATTCAATAATAACATTTATACAAGGATTTTTATGCTAAAATTTATAATTTCTAATCAAATTAATATCTTCACTGTTATATAAAGAATCTTATATTTCTGGTAATCAACTTTCATTTAATATTTAGTTAACTATTTGGTCCCTTTAAAAAAAGTAAAGGTTGACATAATGAACAAACTTTGGTTACAAATACATTCTTATTAGAGAGTATATAGACATTTGACCAAGTACAACTTTCAAACAGAATTAGTAAAGGCTAACCTAGTGGCCATGCTAGCTATTTCTTGTGGGACAAAGTATTAAGTATCAATTGTTTAGATCCTCTTAATAGAAAATTCCCTACAATTAATGTTATGAATAAACTTAATTTCTCATTTATCCTTCCATGAAAATATAACAACTGAAGCATATTCAGAAACCAATAGCAACTAAGCAGTAACCTTGAGAGCTTAGAAAGCTAACATTTGGGTATGATTCTTACAGTGGGCCCAGATAGACCATTTTGAAACTTGGCAGTTAAAAAAAATAATGATGATGATTAGAAACTGAACATAACAACAAATGCTAGAGAATTTCATGATATATATATATTTCTAAGAAGGTTAAGTCACTTCCTTAGACAAGATTCATACACAAGTTGTTTTTTAACAGCTACAGCATTGTATGAGATGTACAACAAAAACATTGTCAATGTGAAAAATCAACAAGTTACAAAAAGATCCCAGTCATAAAAAGTGGATTAATCAGACACGCAAACTAAGTTGGAAGAAATAATTTAGTCAACCCTGTAGTCTATTATTAAATTTATTATTAGTAGTAGTATTAATATTATTATTATTATTATAAGATGTGCAACTGTGTTCAAACTGCTACTCTTATCTTCATCAACTGGAATCAATCAAATTAAACAAGTTAAAAGAAACAACCGAGAAAACCTTGGCCCACACCAAATGAACAGGTACACAGAACATAAGAGCATTGCCTGAACTATGCGTTCATTGTCACTAGTTTTGTCTGTCAAATCCTAGATTAGTCAATGTTAAATACATTTTGTGTGTAGTTGCCACAGTTCACTTTCAGCAGAATAGATTGATTTGTGGTTTTTCTCTCCAAACAAAACTATGTCTAGAAACATGTATTGTAAGAAACCTAAAATGTAGTCTTGTGGTTAAAGTCACAGAGTAACATAGAGGGTTCTAGGTTCAACCTACATTAGGACAAACTATTTTGTACATTTTTATTTTTGCAAGTGAATACTCCTTTTTAAAACATGAATTAAGAGTTTAATATAAATGTTACATTAGTTGTATTTCCTGGTTGTTTTTATTGTTGACAAACAAGTGAGATGTCCTGAATGTATGAATTTCATGTATTGTGGATACTTTCTTTCAAAAGTTCACTGCTTGTTTTTATTGTTGACAAACGAGTGAGATGTCCTGAATGTATGAATGTCATGTATTGTGGATACTTTCTTTCAAAAGTTCACTGGTTGTTTTTATTGTTCACAAACGAGTGAGATGTCCTGAATGTATGAATGTCATGTATTGTGGATACTTTCTTTCAAAAGTACACTGCTTGTTTTTGTTGTTGACAAATGAGTGAGATGTCCTGGAAGTATGAATGTCATGTATTGTGGATACTCTCTTTCAAAAGTTCACTGCTTGTTTTATTGTTGACAAACGAGTGAGATGTCCTGGAAGTATGAATGTCATGTATTGTGGATACTCTCTTTCAAAAGTTCACTGCTTGTTTTTGTTGTTGACAAACGAGTGAGATGTCCTGAAAGTATGAATGTCATGTATTGTGGATACTTTCTTTCAAAAGTAAACTGGTTGTTTTTGTTGTTGACAAACAAGTGAGATGTCCAGGAGGTGTGAATGCCATGTATTGTGGATACTTTGCTTCAAAAGTCCACTGGTTGTTTGTCAACAACAAAAACAACCAGTGAGGTACATTTTGGCAATTTATTTCTCTTGCTGTATAACAAGTATTGAATTTTGTTTTCATACCTGTCCTTAGATTGTTTCAAACTGCATATTAAAAGTTGAATGACAATTCTGGATTATGTAGTTTAGGTATGCCAGTACCTCAGAAACAGCAAAAGTATCTGTGCTGTACTGAGAGTCATTGGAAGTTCTTCGTCAACTTTGTATATAACTTGGCTGTCGGAAAAACGTTTTATGACATTACATTTGTATAAAGTTAAAAAAACACACCTATGTAACAGTCTTCTGGTGGTTCAGAAGTAAATTTGAAGACTTATAGTCATAAACTTTATTGTTTTGTATAGAGAGTCACTGGAAGTTCTTTGCCAACTTTTTTATATTACTTGGCTGTCGGAAATATCATTATTCCTGGAAGAGGACAACTTTATCTGATAAGTTTTTGCTTGTTTGGTTTATTATAAAGAACTTCTGCTCATTAATTAACTACTGACTGCAATTTTAGTTTCTGTAGCTTGTTATTATATAACTGAAAGTGTGTTACAATTAAGGTTGAAATTTTGAATTAAAATGGTACAGTTCATGTATAAGCCTATATTAAATAGTCTGTTTCTGTGAGAACTAGTTAAACACTAGACATCTGTTGTAACACAGCATGTCACTCCCTCAACCTACTCTTTAATTAATTCAACCAGAAAATTGAAATTAATAGACTTATGTAAAAATAAAACAACCGTATTATTCACAAGATCTCATTCTAACGAGATTAAATAATTTCACAAGAACAAAAAAAAAAGTTCAACACAAAACTTACCGGAGATGCACGTTCTCTATAATTTTCTTTGCGATACTGGATATAAACCTCATTAGAAGAGGAATCAGGGACACTTGGAATATTCTGGCCACAGTACTTGCCATCGCCAAGAAAAGGAGAGAGATTACTTCCACCATTTCTGATCTGCAGAAAATATAAGAATCGTACGATACTATTTAGGTATAAAGTAGAAAAAAAACCTGGTGGTCCAGAAGTAAATTTGAAGACTTATACTGGTAAAAGTTATTGTTTGATTCCTGCAGCAGACATGGAATAAAAAATCTATTGAGAATCTCTACACTAAAGCAAAATAAATAATAAACAAACTGAAAGTTATTATCGTTTCTTTAAACCAAGTTTACTTTCAGTATCTTTCTATTATATATTTCAGAGTTTATATGTAATAAAATGGTGGCATACTATTTTGTGAGGAAAACTAAGCAGGTAGCTTATTGATATTTATCATATTCTGTTACTGACAGTAACACATGTGGCAAAACACAGAGTGAGGAAAGCATTTGACAATACCACAAAGTACATTAGTATAAAGTTGAAGAGCTTTATTTAAAAAATTCAAGCACTTTTATACAACTTAATAAACAGTAGTACAATGATAACTATTGAAGAACAAATGATGTTTTGAATAAAATATATATATAATTTATCTTTTAATCAAAATATAAAAAAGTAACCAAAGAAAATGGGTGGTTCGGTCACTCGACTCTCAATCCACAGGTTGCTTGTTCAAATCCTTGTCCCACCAAACATACTAACCCTTTCAGCTGTGGAGGCATTGTAATGTGACAGTCAATCACACTATTCATTAATAAATGAGTAGACCAAGAGTTGGCATTGTATACTGATGACTAACTACCTTCACTCTAGATTTTCATTGTTAAATTAGGGATGGCTAGCACAGATAGCCCTCGTCTAGCTTTGCTCGAAATTCAAACCAAACCAAACCAAAGAAAATAAAATAAATATCTAGTATTTGTAACTTTAAAAAGATGTTAATGAAAATAACTAAACACAATAGTAAAAAATACTAACTTCAGCATGAACATTATGAGCATATACATTTTTTTATACATGTATATTATACTATTTTTTGTACATAATCCATGAATATAAGTCAATTTTTATTCTGCTTTAAACTTCACAAGCAATTAATTTAGAAAAATAATAACAGAATCAAATTCTAGCAAATGCAAGAAATAATGATTATGGGAGTTAGTTTCGAACAAGCTATAATTAATTAATATTAAATGTTTTGCATAAAATTAATATATGTATGTATATTTGACATCAGAAACTGCATCATTCATTTTTTTCAAGAACAGAAAGGCCCCAGCATGGCCAGGTGGTTAGGGCGCTCGACTCGTCCCACAAAACATGGTCGCCCTTTCAGCCGTGGGGGCATTATAATGTGACGGTCAATCCCACTATTCATTGGTAAAAGAGTAGCCCAAGAGTTGGCGGTGGGTGGTGATGACTAGCTGCCTTCCCTCGAGTCTTACACTGCTAAATTAGGGACGGCTAGCACAGATAGCCATCGTGTAGTTTTGAGCGAAATTCATAACAAACAAACAAGAACAGAAACCTTGAAGTTAGTCTAGCATACAGTCTATCTATTGGTAAAGTATACTGTTATCATAAGGTTAGTGCAACTAACTTCAATAATCATGCTTCAATTGATTTACAAAGACTCACATCAACAATCCTTTATAACAGGTAAACAGTAACGAGTATAGAATTATACATTTGCAAAATCACATTATCTGGTGTCAATTTCCTGTATTAACATTTACAAAATGGGTGTTGATGAATCTATTCAGTTTATGGAAAGAAAATACAGGTTTAATCCAATTGATATACAAACAATGGCTTTGAAACCTGTATTAGACAAGAGATTTCATAATCTTACGAACAGGATGTATGATGATTCAAACACAATACATTTGAGGGTATTTGTTCCAGTTTGATGCATTTTCACACTGGAGGCATTCAGCAATTCATGTAGTTTTGTTTTTGGATTTCGCACAAAGCTACACGAGGGCTATTTGTGCTAGCCATCCCTAATTTAGCAGTGTAAGACTAGAGGGAAGGCAGCTAGTCATCACCACCCAGCGCCAACTCTTGGGCTACTCTTTTACCAACGAATAGTGGGATTGACCGTCACATTATAAAGCCCCCACGGCTGAAAGGGCAAACATTCGAAACCGCGACCCTCAGATTGCGAGTCGAACATTTTATCCACCTGGCCATGCCGGGCCAGCAATTCATGTATCAATCAAAAATAGACAGAACGTAATGACTTAATTATTTGGTATACAGTGCAAAAGGAAAATGAGATACTATTACTAACAACACTTGCTTATGCAGATAAATATTTACAATAGATATACAAGTTTTTAAATTTATAAAACCAATATAACATCTTACCACAATAGACTGGGTGCTGCATACACCATCACTAGGAACATTGAACTCTTGAAACGTCAGCTGGATCCAGCGGCCAGGCCGCACCTTCAGGATCCACGTGCAATTTCGACTTACATAATTATATGATGACAATATGTCTTCTGAAGAAATTTCTCCACTTTGACCCTCAAAATAACCTCCACAATCTATAAAAATACCACAACAGACACATCCAAATAAGTAATACACAATAAAGAATTGTAACAAATTTATAATTAATTTTGATACCATATTTTCACAGTTGAAACAAAGAAAAGATGTGTAAAGCAGCCAATCATTTCAATCCTTAAGTATAAATAGATATTTCTGTTACTAATATTATGCTTTTAGATAATAAAGAATTGTAACAAATTTATAATTAATTTTGATACCATATTTTCACAGTTGAAACAAAGAAAAGATGTGTATAGCAGCCAATCATTTCAATCCTTAAGTATAAATAGATATTTCTGTTACTAATATTATGCTTAAAGAATTGCAAATTTTACAATGAGCCAGATATGTAAATTGGAATAAATGAACATTCTTGACTTTGACGAAATAAGTTTAACCCTCACATTCTAAGATATGCAAGTTGATAAATAATTTCATATCTAAAAATTCAAAATAGAACTTAAGAAAGTTACAACCCCCAAGGGATTGAAGGAAAAAAATGCTTATATGCACAGCACAACTGGAACAAAGAATTAAGCATTCTACTGTATTCATTGAGAGCTGCCAGGGCAATTCATTCTTTGAAATAATAACATTTCAAACGTTTACCTATCTACACATTTGTCAGTTTAATGTTTGTTGAATGAGTTGCACTGCGGTTGACATGCCCATTTCTACTCTTTGGAAGTATTCGAGAAAACCACAGTCACACACCAAGTAACAACATCTGACAACTTTGGATTTTGAATCAATATGATGACCTTAACTCCCGTGTGTCATGATGACCTTAACGCCCGTGTGTCATGATGACCTTAACACCCGTGTGTAATTTAACTTACTTGTTATATAACATTAGTGAGATATGATGCATTGAACTAAAAAAACTTTCTTTATAATAAAATTAGCATTATAAAAAATCTTTACATGTCTACAGAAAATATCAATTTTGGACAGACACTCTTTAAACATTTTCAAAATGACTAACATGAGTTGAAATAATTTGAAAATCTTTAAAACTATAAACTGTAACTTAATAAGTTACTTACGTCTAACTACATTACAGCCCTAAAACTATTAAAAAAAAATTATTTCAACGGCAGTCAAAATGAACATTTTACTTTGAAAGCTTTACAGATTGTTGAAGAAGAAAATGAATTTTTCCTATTTGGATATTTTCTTCTTTGAACCTAAGAATAAACACATTGTTGAAGAGTATAAAAAAAATACACTTTATTTTACAAAAGCATACAGTGTGTGTGTGTGTTTCTTGATAATATAACCAAACTGTAAAACCTACCTGAATAAATATTAGCAGAAAAACCAGTTCCATTAACAGAACTATCAGTCACAAATCGTAACAGCATCATGTTTGAACTTGAGTCATATAAAGTATTCAGTTGAGGTCTGCCACACAACTGTGCCATGTGGTTCCACAATGCACCAGAAATTGAATTTTGAGCTGTAATGAACCAAGATACATGGTTTTAAATCAAACTGAAATAGGCAAACAAAATTCTCAAAGATGAAAACTTACACAATGTAATGGATGTTGCAAATGCGAAAAATTAATTCTTATTACTTAAAGAAGGTAGATAATGCAGATACACTTACTATCATAGAGTTCTAGATAGTCATAACTGCAGGTTCCCATGGAGCCTTCCAAATGTAAGTCTAAAAGATGAAACTTTATATGACGATGTGGCTTAGTGCGAATCATCCAGGTACAATTAAGATTGGCTTCATATCCACTTGGATATCCAGGAGACTTAATCACTTCTCTTGAAGTAGAGTTTAGGAACAAATCTTCAAAGCATGTATTTTCTATATGAATGACAAGGAAGATGAAATATGTGATATGTAATCTCTTTATCTATAAAATAAAGAACATGAAATATGTAACATTAAAGTTTTTTAACCATGACCACAACACAAAATAGTTGTATACCTCTCATACCTGAACAAAGAGATGAAAACTTTTTTTTATCTTGGAAAACGTTTCATAAGAAACAAACAACAGTGAACAAAGTCATCACAACACATCCTAATACCTTTGTATACAGGCTAAAATATAATTCTGTAATAAATAGTTTACGTTAATATTTTTTTAAATCTTCACTTTGTTTTCTCAGACCTCACTTACTTGCATTTAATAAAAGCTAAACAATTTGTTATTTGAATAATTGGTTTACTCATAAATCTTATGGTATTTAATTAATGAAAGTCACACACCATTTAAACCACAATAATTTATTAATGCAAAAATAAGGATATTGCACAAAAATAAATAATTGTAGTTTAAATTATGTATGACTTTCATTAATGTTATTTGGACCTTTTGCTATTTAATAAATAATTTAAGTTTTTATTTTCAATACTAATTAAATTTAACTATAATAGATTTCATGTACAAAATAAATAAATACATTGTGGTTCAAGTAAACAAAACAAAAAAGTAACAGAGATCTTAACATTTTATCAAAATTCATGTTAGTTTTCTGCTCTCAGAAAATTGTTACTTCCATAATAAAGTTATTTAAAATATTTTTGAACAAATAAATTACTGATAAGCTCACATAATATTGAATATATTTGAAACAAAATAGGTCATAGTTGTCCTACATAGAAACACTGTAAATATTGTTTCAGTCTTTTAAAGTTTCCAATTTATTATATTTCTTCACACATAACCTGGCAAATGTGAATTATACATTCATAAGAATTAAACATTTATCAATAAGTAATGACACTTGACATGAAACTTTTATTAAAAGTAACAGCAGCTTTAGGTGCAAATTAATAATGTTCTGTTCTTATTTTAAATTTAAATTCCTTGCAATTTAGAATCAACAGATATAGTAGAAAACAGAGAGAAACTCAACCTTGGAAATAACGAATTGTAACCAAAAAGACTTAAGATTTAACCTACCTGTACCAGTCTCAGATGGTGGAGCTTCTGTAGCGTAGCTCGTCTCATTGACAGCTCTCCACGTTAGCTTCCACTTGCCATGGTGATAGCTCTTGGATTTATAGTAAATAAGAATCTGGTTGGTATGGGATACAACTGGAGTGGGAATAGATCGACCACATACTCTTGCAAGCTCAGGGACTGATTCATCAATACCATCCATTATCTGCAAACAAACAGATTCTATGAAGTTAAGATTCACTATTAAAAGACACATTTCAACACAAGCATTGTGTGTAAACTTTTGTTCCCTAATACTGGATCTGAACTTCATTTCAGATTACTTTATACTGTATTGTGTACTTACCTACTATTACAACAGATTCAACCACTGGTTGATGGTTGTAAGACATCATAACTTGTTTGGTAACTATTATAACAATAAGTATTACTCTCTAACCAGACTCGTAGTAAATTTAATAGAATTACAATAAGACTTGCAGTAATTTTAAATATTATTTACTCTTTCTTGCATTTATAAATAAAACAGTGTTATATCAAATTCTGCTTTTCTGATATAATTTAGTATCAAGAAGATTATTACACTTCACAGAAGTACAGACACTACTTACCCAAACCAAAAATGTATGCAATTTTTTTCCAAAATAACTCAACATTTGTAAAGGTATTTGATTTTAATATAAAGCTAAATACTTTATTAATAACTGCTTGATAGCCTTCACTGGACATTTGAAACAATCTTTCCTTCATTTTAACCAGCATTTCAATAATGTGAACTGTATAAAAAGCCACATTTCCATACAAAAAAAAATTTTCAGGTATTAAAAAAAGGAAATTTTCAAAATTCCAGATGTTCATTGTAATCTAGTTTTAAATTAATACAATTAACTGTAGTCTATGCGTGATTTATGTTGAATATTAATTTAAACCTTTTTTTAAGTGCAGTGCTTAAAAATTAAAAATTTTAATGTATAACATAGACATCTGTTTAATATTTACTAGTAAAACATGAAATAAGCGTGTTAGGTACCCCTTGTTTCCATATCTGGAAAACACTGGCACTACTAATAAGTGTAATGCAACATCTTTCTAAACATCCATACGAAAGTTTTGAAGGATCAAAACTTGCATATAATAAATACAAAGAAATTGTAAACAGTGTTGTTAAAGTGGACTTTGTTTATTTAAGGGACTAGTAACTATCTTTATATACGAATAATTAGATAATACCACTCAATAATGGGTAATTCTGATTTTAAAAAATCAACTTACCTGAACATAGCTCTCACAGTTTTCATTGAATCCTTCACTTAGATCAATTTCTACAAAGGCAACTCTTACATACATGTCCCTGGGGACAATGACTGTCCACGTAAACTCATCATCAAATACAAAATCTCTGGGATAACCTGGTGATGCTATCACCCCATAAGTTCCTTCTAGTTCTACACCATGCACTGTAAAACCGAACAAGAAGTATTAGTAACCTTCATCAACATGAAGAGAAAATGGGAAACTTAACTCGGAAAGTGCACTGTATGATAAAATGTAAACATAAATCAACTTTAAAGTTTTAGAGATGAACTTTAGCTAAACTTACTGAATATGAATTCATGAAAGAATAAAAATGTTCTAATAGAATATTTTAAATAAGGTATAATCATTTCTAACAATGAAGTGCAGTCCATATGTCATTAACCGTATATGAACATGCAGGTGTCAAAGTGTACATGCCATGATCTTGTACGAAATTCCATTCAACATGACATTATATTATGTATTTAATGTCAGAGTTATCAATTACTCATCTTATCACACATTACTGATTTAGCAACATTTCATGGTTGAGAAGAGCTAATACCAGATACAACATAAAGAAATACTGAAAAAATTGTAGATATATATTTCAGAGTTTCTGTAGGCTACTCAAAAGCAATATGCAAACTGTACAATTGACAAAAGTAATCTTATTTGTCACATGAATGTCAACTTGCACTCCGACTGATCAGAGTTTGAATCTGACCACTATCTTCAATTCACAGACATATATCGTGTACAAATATTTGTGTACCACATCTGATCTTTTGTACACACTAAACGTACATATTTTACTCAAAGCTTCTGTAGATACACATGGTAAATACAGAATTGTAGACAACATTCCTTTACAGATGTAAGATCAGTGGACTGACCTTGTGCACCTTCAGATAACTACATTCACTGTTTAAGACTATTGGGATCTATGGTCTGAATCACACCAAAATAGCCACCATCAAACTTAATGTTAATCATGAAATTTGCATTGATTTATCTTCATAAGTGAATAGCCAAATAACAGATAACTTTCTTAATTTCATAAAAAGTACCAGGCAATGTAGCTATGTAATTTTGAATTGTGTCAAACATCTGTTTAATTTCTTATTATTAAAAAAGTGTCTACAATGTCATCAACAATTTAATGTATTATATTTTTTATGGTTTATCAGCATCCTTTAACCCCTTCCATGATTTGCCCAAGCTAACTCGGATGCCCTCCATGTTCCCAAAAATAGTTACCCAAGTTAATTTGGACAAACTAGAACTTGCTCTATTTTGTATTATTTGCCCAAAATTTATTCACATGTTATCATGTATTACAAATAGTGCTCACTAGATGGAGCTGGAATTGTTTGTACTGATTTCTATCAGATTTATTCTGAATTCATATTCTTTACTTCAGTTTCATTGCAATATTATATATCATATATAAATCCAGATACATATAATTTATCTACTGAGTACATTTTGGTGAAGAAATATCATAAAATAACTTTTCTTTCATTAACATAGAAGCATGGGCTACCAAAACACAAAATAAAAACTTGACTTTCTTTTAGTTCATTTCCAAAAAAAAAAGCCTGACACAGAAGGGATTAACTACAAGACTAATACAGAGACATTTAATTATTTATGAAAGATACATATATAAAGGTTCAGAACAGACATCTTTCATGGAAACATTTTAGAATTAATGATCAAATAACATTATCAAAAGGTATTTTCAATGTACGGTCTCATATTATATCTTTATATCACACCCCAAAAAGCAAAAACAGCATTATTTGAATTTTTTAAATATTAAGTTATTGAGGTTTGAAATAATTCTGTAATTATTTCAGCTTGTAAGTTAGAAGGTCGATGAATAGTTTAAAGCCCAATTTTTTTAATGCATACTTGCAGCACCTTTTTTTATGATACGTATTGTCACTTAGAAAACAAAAAATACCTAAAACATAGGATGCCATAAATCCAGGATGGGTTCCTTGTGAATCAGAACGAAACTTAACCCACAGCTTATTGGCTGCTGTTACATTTCCTGGGATCTGATTTCCACAGTAGCGACCAATATATCGTCCATCACGTCCTGATTCTCTCACTTCTAAGTAGTCCATATTGCAATAATCACTTTCTTCTAAATCAAACATCCTTTAAAAAGAAATAGAGAGTAAATTATCTAACAAAAAGATTTATGTGGACTAATTTCCTTAAACTTTTATAGTTTAAAAAACATTCCCTCAAATTTCCTGTCCAATTTCCAATTTTCTAATCCATTTTTAGTAGCTTTAACATTTTCTTAAACACTGGTACATATGCCTATTTACAAGTTTCTTTATTTTAATGATAATTTTTATAACCTGTACATAAAGTTAACAGCTTGGTACAGTATTCACTTACATTTTACCTTAAGACATAAAATATACCAAAGGTATCTGTTAAAGGCAATGACGAACACATAATTTGAAGCATTATGGGAAATATATAAATTAAGACATTGGTTTTTTTGCACTAATAGTGGAAGATGACGAAGGTTAACAAGTATTTTAGGCTAGTGATTTCTGTCTTTTATGTCATAAATTTAGATATGAGAGTGGTTTATGCCATGTACAGCCATCATTAAAATATTGTTTATTTATTACTTGTGACAGAATGTAAAGAAGTCTAAACGATGAAATTTCTTTAAAGGCTTTCTTCTTTAACTTAATGATCCAATAAAAACATCCTGATGGAACTGATAATTATGTTATAACAACGAGAGCTCACCAGGCCAGTCAAGTTACAAGCCAGCACAGTTGAAATTCTACTAAAGCTTTTCCTGTTGAAAACTTACATTGGGCCAGTAAAGAATGACGTGATTTAAATTTATTATCAGCCTCGTTGTGATATTGTATGAAACATAAATTACTCCTAATATTTGTCACTGTTTCGAAAAACAAAGAAAATGCACAAGAACTTAATTATCACTTTGATTCTCACAGAAATAAATCCATTTGAACATAAAATAACAGAGAAGAACTATGTTTGTACCATAGCTGGTCACTGCATAAGACTAACAGAATTTACTCAGAATTTGTCATATAAAAGCCCTTCTTTTAAACTAAGGAAACAAGAAATTTCATTTCACAACATTGATTAGAGAATCTACTACACACCTAAAGGTCAAGTCCACCTTATTTCCAGGTGCAGCCACAATGGTCCATACACATTCAGTATCAAAAGGATAGCTAAGGGGATATGCTGGACTATTAAAATCCCCAGCTTCTGCTGTCAGTGTTCCACCACAGGCTACAAGGTATATTATCAAAGTATTTAGAAAACGTATATTTATTGTTGTGTTATACTAATGTATTTAATGTTTTATGTTTTGAGAGACCAAAAACCATTTTCTTTAAACACACTGCTGTTCTTATTTGGTTAATACTGAAAATATTTTTATGTTTTATGGAAACTGTTAAAAACAAACTGAATTATAAGAAATTCACTAAAAAAAAAAAAAAGAATAGCAGATTGAGAACTTAATTTCTGTACTTTCTCTCAGGAAAAAATTAACTTATAAAAATTTTATAACCAGAAATTCAATGATATTACTCTATCGTTTCTAACTGATATCATTAATAAGGTCAAACAGTCATATGATTACTGCAATTTATATATCATTTAGGTATAAGAAAATAATCACCAAAAATTAGATCTTGGTAATTATGAGTAAAAGAGCTGTATTAAGGCCAATTTTTTCTCTAGTGTTTTCTTAGAGCCTTTCAAACAAGATAATGAAAAATATTATATTAAAAGTCTTTAAAGGAAGCTAAAACTTAAAACATTAAATTTCCAAAGCTATGACACTGTTTGTTTGTAATTAAGCACAAAGCTACACAATGGGCTATCTGTGCTCTGCCCACTATGAGTATTGAAACCCAGTTTCTAGCATTGTAAGTCCACAAACATACTGCTGTGCCACTGGGGAGTGATACAGCATTTCATCTAAACATGTGTATGTATATATATATATATATATTTTTTTATTAAATAGTCTCCTTTTAAAAATAGTAATAAGATGAGAAAAACAGAAGAAGAGGGGAAGGTTAGTCTGATTACTTGCTGTAAAACTTTGCCAAGGGGTTATACAAAGATGTAAAATGTTACATTCAGCATTCTGATTACTTGCTGTAAAACTTTGCCAAAGGGTTATACAAAGATGTAAAATGTTACATTCAGCATTCTGATTACTTGCCATAAAACTTTGCCAAAGGGTTATACAAAGATGTAAAATGTTACATTCAGCATTCTGATTACTTGCTGTAAAACTTTGCCAAAGGGTTATACAAAGATGTAAAATGTTATATTCAGCATTCTGATTACTTGCCATAAAACTTTGCGAAGGGGTTATACAAAGATGTAAAATGTTACATTCAGCATTCTGATTACTTGCCATAAAACTTTGCGAAGGGGTTATACAAGAATCAATAATAAACAAATAGAAACTGGAAAGGAGTTAAAGGGATCAAGAAACTTCCTTGTTAGTGAATTATCAAAAAAGGTAGAGAGAGAGAGAAAACGAGATCAAACAGAACAAAAATACAGATGGCAAGGGAGGGGGAGGGGAGATGATTAATATACAAAAGAGAAAGATCATACCACAAAACAATTCCAGAGCAAGAACTGAATACTTTCATTTAATGCCCCTAAAGTGTTCGACATTAAAAACATCACGAGTAACAGCCTTCCATAAATGAACCTTGAAGATGTGGGAAACATGAAGACTTTTATTGGAAAATTCTCAGAACAATTCAGAGAACTATGTTTTCAGTATAAATAATTGTTGTTGTTTGGGGGGGGGAGGGGACGACACCACACTGTATGTCTTACCCGAAGTAGATGATGAATAGGTAGCATGGAAGAGAGCGTGTCCATTGGCAAAGATGTGTAAGCTATTTCCTTGTGAGGTAATTGCAGAAGGAATTCGTCTTCCACAAAAAGGAGACCCAGAAACAGGAGGACCATCGGTATTCTCACCCTCTCTGACGTCTATGTATACACGAGTACAATTGGAATCCTCGAGGGCAATTATGTTGGTAAATGTTAGAGTGACGTGGTTACCTATTTTCAAATACAGACTTATTAATACCTCAACTAATAATTGATTTCAATTAATATCTTTAACATCAATTCTATCACCACAATTACCTGACAGAAACACTCGTAAAACCTATATCTCGTATAAAGCTACACCTATGAATTTCACTCGTAATATGCCGTATTAGATCTTCTCAGTATATTCATCTTATTGACTTGGAAACTAGCACTTGTTAACAAAAGAAACATTTTAGTATGAATAATTTTTTAAGACAATGTTAAGTCTAGATATTGAAATGTACTGCCAAGAATTTTATTATACAATCTACACCAAACTGTATAACATAAACAGTAATTACTTGGACTTAAATCAATTTCTTGCATAAACTAAGGTTCCATTTTCCATGCTTGTAAAAAAATCATTGGCAATCAGCCAGTTGCTTATCATCAAGATTCAGCAGTAGTTTGAAACAATCAAACTGTTTATCATCAAGATTCATTAGTAAAATAAAACAATCAAACTGTTTATCATCAAGATCCAGTGGTGGAATAAAACAATCAAACTGTTTATCATCAAGATCCAGTGGTGGAATAAAATAATCAAACTGTTTATCATCAAGATCCAGTGGTGGAATAAAACAATCAAACTGTTTATCATCAAGATCCAGTGGTGGAATAAAACAAT